GTTTTTTTTTTATAAAATTTAACCGATTTTGTAGTGATTTTGTACCTACTTTATATGTATCCATTACAGCTAGATGTCATCGAATACAGTCTATTAAAAATGTGGTGATGTGTTTTGATCACTATGTAATAGTCGATGGCATAAGACAGGGGTGGATGGGGAAGTGGAAACCGGCGCGGGAAAAACAGGCAACCGGCCCAAATCCACAAAAACAAAATGACCATAACGAAGAAACATATTTTATTTATTAATAATTAAGTAAGGGTGTTAAGCTCTTTTGCCTCCGGTTTTTAAAAAAGAAATAAATTGTCTTTTTGGTCAAAATTTTCGCAACCAATATTGGGTCGGCCATCTGAATTTTTACTACAAAATGGCTCATTTTTACAGAGTTCTACTGCTTTAGTTCCATTATCGATAACGGTAATTTGATCAATAGGTTACGATTTTGAGTCACGATTTTGAGAAACTTTAAAACTTCCTGATTCATTCAGTTCAGCTGACTCAATCCTCTGTGAAATACATTACTTTTAGCTTTTCGGGTATATACTTTCTTACACATTGTAGAAAGAAATTCTCTCTTTTTTGCTACAGCAGCAGCCTCCTAGTGTGCACGTGTTTTTAACTGAATGAACCGCGGTCGCCATTAAACCTGCAGCATTTTTAGGTTATTATATAGTTCTTATCACGAAACTTTTCCTCTATACTTTTCTACATTTGGCATCTTGTATGATAATGCCATGACTCAAACGAAAAAAAACTAGGCAATACCTAGGGAGTGGATATAAATGTGTTCTGATGTAATGCTATGTTACAGCCCATAATAAGAATATTTGGATTTTCGAGACATTAATAATTTATTATCTAATCTAGTTTAAACCTTATTTAACTCTTTTCTGCTGTCTCATTAATTTTTAGCAACATTTTAAACAACAATTTAGACTTGGCTTTTAGTTCTCAGACTTGGCTTTTAGTCCGTCCCCAATTCAAGCCAAGCATAGATATGTTTTCTCCGTCAACCGCAGAGTTCGCGTCAAATTCGTCTACCTTCTTACAAAGGGGAGCTCGAAAAATATTGGACCGAGGCCCCCAGTTGTCAATCTAGGCTACCGTATTCTTAGTATACATTTAGATCGAGACTATTTAAATTTACCTAATGCTATTCATTCTTTTTGTTTTGCTGACAGTCAGTCATATTTATTAGTTATTAATAAAAGAATAGTGGGTAAACTATATAGGGTGAGTCTTAAATAAGTGCAAATATTTTCAAGGGTGGTATATTTCGACCCCAGGTCTATGAGGTTTTTTGCAAAAAAATATGTTAAAAATCGAGCATTTTCTTTTAAATTTTCCTGTATATCTTAGAACATTTTTTAGAACTTCCTGTTCACCGCAAATTTTCTCCCACGGTATAGTTTCTTAATCTCTGATATTACGGCACTAAAAGAGATGCAAATACCGAAAAATTGAGGTGGCTTAAATTTTTTTAAAAATAAATCATTTTTTTTTAATTTCCAAACTTTAATAACTCGATTGGACTTATTTGAAACTCGATAAAGAGAATATATTATGTTTATTTTATTGAGATCTGCAAGCCCTGAAAATATATGCACTTATAGACTCACCTTGTATAATAAAAATTTTCAAAGCGAACAAACAACAGATGATTATTAAAATTATAAGTGTCCCCAGTTAACCATTTAATTTTTGCTAATCCAATCTTTTTTGGGCTCTGTTCGGGACCGGCCCATCTTTCCACCGGTCCACCGGGAATTTTCCCGTTTTCCCATATGGCCCATCCACCCCTGGCATAAGATAAGACGTGGAGGATTTTAAGATACTCTTCAAAAATGACTTAAAATCAAATGACTTAAGTCATTAAAATGATTTAAATAAAAAAAAAGACTTAAGTTTTCTGTGAGCTCTCAGCCCTGAGTGTGCCTTGCTTGTTAAAAAATAATAGTTACGAATGCTTTTTTACCTATATGCCACTTTTGACAAAACGTCAGTTAGTCAAAATTGGCATATATTATTAATTATTGACTTTTCGATTGACTTAAAAATAAAAGCAGAATATCGTTTTAAGGAATTATGTTAAGCAAGGTAAGTTTTCTATAAATATCTTACTTATAAAGTAATATAAATATTTGTTATATTTAATTAATTCCTACTAAAGTATTTTTTTTTCTCGAAAAAGCAATTTTATTCAAATGTTTTTGTTTTAATGTAAACAATACCTTTACAAAAGATTTGTCGGTCTTGGGCCGTCAAACACAACTCAAATTATACTTGTTGCAAAGCTTGTAGTATGTAAAATTTTATATTTTTTAGGATATGTCTTGCGTTGATATAAAATGAAGAGCACACGGGAAAAACGATGAGTGTCCAAAAACGGGGGGGAGGTAATCGTTTTTTAATTCAAATTACGCATGTACTTATCGTTTTTCCCATTTTTAAATGCCTGTTTCTATGTGACCGTTATCGATATTCCCGATTATTTAGTTATCAAAAGGTGTAGCTTTTTAAGACGACAAATATTACGCATTAAAATCAAATTAACAGAAAATGGACTTTTATTGTTTTTCCGTGTACTCTTCAAATGTTAGTCATTTTAAGGGAGTCCCCGGGAGAGAACCGTATTTCCGAGAATCTGTCTAAAGTTGTGAACACTTTTTTTTATTAAGCTTCAAAAAAATATTAATAACGGTTCAAAACAACTGAATTTTACGGGAAAAATTGTAAAGTTTAATATACTTTAGGGTATAATATGTATGAGCTTAGGTCATTCTCCGCCGGTGCTGCCACCATCGGATAATATCGCAAACAACTGGCATATACAAATACACGGATTTAAATAGAGAGTATACGAAAAATTTATTATTTAATAATTATAAAAGTATTAGGAAGTATAATTTTTGAAAATTCTATAAATGAAAAACTAAATATTTTGATATTTTCAGAAGATCTAACTAATAATTATATATTTGTATTATAATTTATTATTCCAGTTAAAAAAAACTTTTTAGATGAGTTCAACTATGGTTTTGCTAGTGGGGTCATAATTGGGGCTATTTCGGCTATAACGAAATTTTTTAAAGGTACATAATTATAATTTTAGAAGATGTTCATAAAACATTTAATCAGTAGTTGATTAAAAAAACTAATTATTAATATTGCAAATTATATTTTATCCTCTCATAGTATGTCTAGTTAATTTTTTGATAATGTAGTGGGTACTTTGTTTACTCATTTGTTTCCTTGAACTGCTTGCATCCAGGTTTGCTTTTAATCAAATCGGTGTGAGAAACTATGAAGCTATAAAATGTTGTTTGGTGAGAGTTGAATATCTCTATACAACAACCGTGTAATTACGTCCTACTTTACATGTTAACATTTTTTCGACAATTTTATTTAATAATATAATAATATTTTAAATTGTCACAACACAAAGCAACGCCCAGTTCGAGTTCTTTTTCACTTAATTTTTACTACCCGAAATAGCGTTACATCGGGAAATACAGAAATTCTCTAATTAATTAACTTCTAATTTCTGCCGAATCGAGCGCTGCGGTCGAAATTTTGAAAATGAACTGAAATGCATCAAGATTAAAGAAAAATTAATAAATTTTGATTACAGTCAGAGTTTGCAACAATATTTTTACAAATCTAAGTGGAAAACTAAACAGTCTGTGGAATATAAAATTAATACTAGCCATTTTTATGTTTAATACAATGATACGAGTCATTAAGATCTATGAGTAGTTACAGTACATCTGCTGGATCTGTGTCTATGAAAGGAATGCGGGCAAAAAACATTTAAATAAACAGCAATATATTTTATACGTCGATTTGACGAGTGCGTCACCGCAAATCGCTCCGCCCACCAGGGGCGTAGATAGGTGTATGCTATGGGGGTGGTACTATGATTAAGTCGCAAAAAAAATCACCGTCGGAATTTTTTTGTCGAATTAAAACGACGGCGATTTTTTTGTCTTCAAAAAGATATAAAAACATAACACAAAAATTAAAATATAGATTTGTAAATAACATAAACAAAAATGAAACAACGACGTTTATTAGTTAATTTTCTATAAACTATAAATAAAAATCTCTAAACTATCAAAAAAAAACTATAAAAACTATAAACTATAAATAAAACTACAAAACAAAATCAAGTTTTCTAGTACGCTGTTTGGAAAACCTATCAATAACAGCATCAACATTTTTTTCAATATCTTTATGGATATTGATTAGAGTTAAGCCCACTAATCTGTCCTGGCCAATAAGAACACTTTGTGTGCTTTTAATTAGGTCGAACATATTATAAACGATAAATCAACATAATTAAAAGCATACAAAGTGTTCTTAATGTCGGATATTAATTAAAAAAAATCCTTTCATAGTCAATGACTATTTCAATTCTCGTATCTCGTCAAGCGTCAGGGGGGGGTACTGTCCCCCAGTACCCCCCCCTTATCTACGCCCTTGCTGCCCACTCACTTTATTGGCTACTTGCAAATTTGTCGAATTTTTATTGATGGGACGCGTCGTCTAATTTTTTACGAAAAACATCGAGAAAATATCGTTTCCCCTCTCACGGATACCCCGGAGCTACAGAACGTACTGTACATATGTTTTTTCTACAAGTTAATATAAAATTCCAGACAATTATTAATAGTTCTAATATCCAATAATACATTTAAAAACGGTACCTAATGTTTATATTTTTGCTGTCAATTTTTTACATTTTTTTACTTGAAAAATTACTTAGATTTACTAAAATACGTTTTATAGTGACGCCTTATTTACACCGATTTATTATGTGCACATAATATTATCGGATATCTAAAAATACGCATAATTTATTTACGTCAATTATTTTATTCTGTAAACTTTGTTTACGTTCATTTATACAAATAACAATTATGTTTTCAAGTAATGAAAACCATTTGTTATTAGTAATTGATACGACAGTCAACAGATCCACGTGACACCTCGGCTTCTATACAAGATTAAGCGAACAGCCAGCTGATCCAGTACCATTTCAGTACTTTGTATTCAGATTCAGTACTTAAATAGATTTCGTTTAGTAGGTTTCGTGCAAGTGCGCTGTCCGCTAACCTCACAAAACCATAAATAGTGAAACAGAATATTTTTATTTAGAATTTAGAACACTTTCAGTTGTTATCGAAATATTTGTTGTGCTCAGTTTTGTTTAGTGTTTGCATTAGTGCTTCGGACAGTTCTTTAATAGATTTGTAAGTTTTAATTTATACTTTATTATTTAGTTTTAGTTAAAGAATACTTGTAACTTGTATGTATTTTGTTAAAGGTTTCTCTTTAGTTTTAAATGCCTATGAATTGATGATAGTGAAGACGATTCTTGAGAAATTCATCTTCTCGGTTTGATTTTTGGTTTAAAATTCTGTTTAATTTTCTTTTGTAATTGTTTGTAAGTTTTAATTCTAGAAAAGGTAGGTATGTAAATATTTGCAGCCATTATTTGTACAAAAATTTGTATAAATATTTAGTCTTTCCATTTGATATTTTGTGTTTGAAGTTTTGTCTGTGACTTATACTTTTTTATACTATTGTTTGTTCTTGAATGAATTTCTTTTTTTGATTTGATTGTTATTTTAAAATTTTTATTGCAGTTTTAATAAGCACCTATGTAGGTTTATTATGATACCTATTTAATACAAAGATAAACTTATTATTTATACGTTAGTAGATTTCAAATTTTTATCGGTTTATAGCATTGTTTATTTATCTAAAATATAAATGTTGATAATTTGGTTTTTATGATTTTTTCCTTGATCTGGTTGTAAGTAGTGATCACAGAAGTGATCTTATCTATAGTTCACATCAAATAAACTTTTACCAAAAAAATCCTTTATGGGTATCTCGCCACTGCACTGCAAGAAAATCTACTAAATAAAATAGTTATTTTTTGTAAACACTTCTGCGTTAAATCTAAACGGACGCTGCTTGTCAGAAGTTATGTTTACAGTTATACAAATTTGCCTAACAAAGAAAAAAAAATGCTTAACGTTTCGGAAAGTTATCTCTTTCCGTCGTCGGAAGCAAAAAAAATTCAATGAATAAAGAAAAAAACTATTTAAAATATTTAAATTCAACTATTCGAGAACACTTTACTTTTTTAAAACAGATACGTCTACAAGAAACCGTTGACGTTCTGTTAAAATGACATTATATCAAGTTAAACTTCAAAATTAACAATTACTACCTGATAACAATTACTTAATAAGGTAAAACCAAAAAGCCCCAAACTTTCTGTATGATTATTTTTAAATTTTACGTATGTTATGTTTATTTATGTTATGTTCTTTAAAATCAAAAAAGGCGATTATCTACAGATGCATGAGCAATATATTTATTTTTATTAGATTGAATTAAAAAAGCCTCTTTCATTTTTCTTTTAGAGGCTATCGCCTCTTTCGTTATAATTTTGGCGTTATTAAAATTTATTCTGTGCCCTGTGTTCCGAGAATGCTGACAAATCTTAGATTTGTGAAAATCTCCCTTTCTTAATTAATATTTATGTTCTTTAATTCTAACATTTAAGGGTCTAGATGTTTCACCAATGTAAAATTTATCGCATTCACAGGATATTTGGTATATTACATTTTTTGTTAGTTGTTCTGTATTCATTGGTTTACTAGATAAACACAATTATTATTAATTTTAAGTAGATAATATCCTTATAATATATAATATGATTGCTTGGTAAATATTTTGAAATATTCTATACTTACTTTTGAGTGTAATAATATATCAAAAATATAACAATAATGCAATCAATAAGTAACAGATAAAAATTAAAACTTTGGTCTCTAGTATATTTACGAAGTTGCGTAGCATACTATAAATATAATTTGCATAAACTTGCCAAGAAATAAAAATAGACCGTATTGAATCAGCTAAAATGTAAAATACGTCTTTTATATATTTCACTCATTAATTTTATGTGATATATTATAGTAAAAAGTTATAATTTGTTGTAAGGATTGTGCTTTATGTATTTATTCATTATGCGTAAGATATAAGGAAGAATGAATAAATATATGTACATGTTTAATGATTTATCTATTTTTTATTATTTTACATGCATAAATAATCAAGAGACTATAGACTGCTAACTTTATTTATGTATTATGTATGTAATAAATTTTGTTGTGTAAATACAAGAAAAATCCCTATTAAATAAGAATAAGCCTCAGCCAAGTGAACTTTGAATAAACTGAATCTATTATGATTCATGCGTGCTTGCTAATATACAGTGTGTCCCCGGATTGTCTTTGCAAGAGTAAAACAACTTTTTTAATATTGGAATTTTGAGAAAAAAAGCATTTTTCATACATTTTTTTGCTTATTCTAAAATGATTAATCCTGTTTATATTTTTTTCAAATTTCCATACCGTTTTAGAGAAAATTTAAAAAAAACATGAAAATATTGTTGAATTTTCCTGAAATCCTGAAAATGAAAAGGCGTTTCCATGATAATATAATTTCGATTTCATTCTTTGATAAATGGTTATTATATTAATAATTTTGAATACCGTCATATTTTTTTCTGTAAAAGTATCATATTTTCCAATAACTGTTATGACCCTTTCCTTTCCGTAGCATTGAACTAAATAAATTTTGTGCTTATTTAACATAACAGCAAAAAATATGAAGCTAATTAAAATTCTATCAACGACAGTCTATAAAAGAAAGAAAAATGAAAGATAACGAAATTATATTACCATAGAAACGGGTTTTCATTTTCAGGAACTATACAGGGTGAGTCTTAAATAAGTGCAAATATTTTTATATTTCGACCCCTTCGAAACGCCTTTTGATTTTCGAAAAATTCCACTATATTTTCAAGTTTTTTTTAATTTTCTCTAAAACGGTGTGGAAACTTGGAAAAGTATAAACGGGATTAACAATTTTAGAACAAGCTTTATATATAACACTTTTTTATAAAGAATGCATTTTTCGCAGAATGTCAATAATAAAAAAGTTTTTCCTCATATAAAGACACTCCAGGGACATACTGTATAAATACATTTTTAATTTTTATTAGTCAATTTTATTTAATTAATTTTACATAGATTTTTTTTATTGTTGATTTTAAATTTGCTGATATCAAGGGTTATAAATGTAAGTACTCATCTACAGCACATAAGCTCTATGGGACCCCTTATACAGGGTGTCACGGTAACCAATTTTCCAAATTAACCAAATTTCACGGTAACCAATGAGATCTCGGAAACTATAAGAAATACCATGAAGGTTAAATTATGACAAATTTTATGCCCAATAAAATGACATTTTGCAAATTAAAAAATTACTCCAAATATTTCGAATATTATTTTTTTTATTTATAAATAAATAATGACGAAAATCCAGTTAAATAGGACGATGACAATACTGAATATAAAAATAAATAATTTAGCTTATTTTTAATTAGGTTGTTTTTGTAATAAACTGTTGCATGGTAATTTTATCTAAATTTAGAAGTCCTCCAATCCACGATTGATATAAAAGTATCATAAAAACAATTTCCATAACAGTGAATTAGATGCCATCCCCCGTAATGGTATTTTTAGTAAAATTGCTAGATAATTTATACAATCAATTTGGTTAATATCAGCATAACATTCTCTGGTTTTATAAGGGGAATTCTCAACATAAGCACATTTTTTTTCACGGGTTTCCCGTAAATAGTGTACAATAATGTTTGTTTAATAATAATAAACGGTATTTTTATTACACCTACTTATTGTTAAGTATACCTCTTATTTTATTATTCTAATCCATTTTTTTGTGTTGTGTTCTATCCCATGAGTGTCAACAAAATTCATATCTTATATATGTAGATAGTAGTAGTATATTATATCTATCATATACCCATTTGGTCATCGAACCTGCGCGGTCTAGATTTTAACGTGTAAGACAGTGATGAGAGTGTAGACAGCATGATGGAAAATCCAATGTATTAAGAGTCCATTTCACTAGTCCGAAAAAGTAGCAAAATTAGCTTTCGGCATTTAACGTTTTATGTAAAACTGATTAGGTATTTTTACATAAAAGAAGAAGGAAATTAAAGATAAAGGATTATACTATATCCGTATCGTAGCAGATTTTTAGACAACTTCTTTATTTTTAAGATTTTGATGGTCAAACATCAACAAAATATTCCTTATGTTTGGACTAAATGACACGCATGAAAATTCAAACCACATAGTATGGATGACCAGCAGGGTATACTATAGGGTGATTCACTGCGATGGTACGTTAGTGGTTTGTGGAGAACCGGTGATCGAATTTTTGTGAAATTTTCTATTTTTCATAAAAGCACCTGCTCCATCTGTCTAAAACATATTTTCAGTGTTGCCGCATCATCTGAAAAGCAGTACCACCTTTTTTATTTTAAATGGAACACCCGGTATATTATTACATTTTTGGAAACTAATTTCATAATCTCATAATTTTTCTATTATACTAATAGTTTTTGTGATAAAAATTTAAATATGTGTAAAATTGACAAAATCATTATTGTGAATACGCATTATAAAAATAATGAATTGAACATTTATCAAGCTGAAATTTCAGTTATAAATTAATGAAAATCGATATATTTGATCTGTCTAAAGGTACATTCAGCCTGAGAGCGTCGAGCGTCGCGTCGCGTTTGCGTCGCGTCCGCCCCATTGAACTCGACCCCCGACGCTCAGCGGACGCTAGCGCAACGCCAAACGCGACGCTGCCTGCCTGAACGGTCTAATTTAAGTCTTTGGTTAAGTGAATTGATTCCATTCAGGGCCAGTCAACTGAGATATACGACCTTGAACGATCTTTTTTTGGGGTAGTAATTTCCGGGGGCGCTAGATGGCGTATTTTTATTTTAATTTTTCTAGTTGCCTAACAATTGCGTACAAAATTGTTTTTATAGTTGCCTAAATAGGCCTATTAATTATGTTCTGTCATTGTTCTGTATGTCAAATCAGTTTTCCGTTTCCGGCTTCCTCCCAGTGTCACCAACTCCGGAATTTTATCCTATTATTTATATTTTAGGGTTTTTTCGGGATATTTTTTTAGGTTTTTAGGGATATTTTGGGGATTTTTGATGCGAGTGTTTAGATTCTTTGGGAGATAAATTTTTGAGAGTTGGAAACTCTGCTTCCTCCTTCCTCTTCAGTTGTGTTTTGCAATTGAACGGAGATGTGCTTTTCGCTGTTTTCTGGTTGTTTGGCTGTGTTTTTTGCTATCTTCATTTTACAATCGTGATTTTGTATTTTTGAATTTTAGTTTAACCTGGTTTAACCTTTATATATAAATCCTTGTTTTTTACCATTTGACTTGTTTGCCAACTTGGGACCAATCAGATGACTACACATTATTTTGTAGAAATCTGATTGGCTCTAACTGGCGAACAAGTCAATACGTCTTGCTTAAAAATAAATTGCATCTATTTAAATTTGCCGCCAGCCGCCACATTTGTTACTTTCCTGGGTGGCTAGATGGCGCCACTTCAATATACAGATTACAGATTTCTTTACAAATTTGAAACCGTTTTGAAACTAAAAAATGCATGGGAGTTAGCGTTCTTCTTTAGTGTGTTCTGTGATTCCATTTCAACACGCGGACGCGACGCAGACGCGACGCGAAGCTCGACGCTCTCAGCCTGAATGTACCTTAAATAAACCGATTGGATATGTTACAGGGAGAGCAAAATCATATTTTGTTTCGTGTTTCCGTTTGTTATAAAATTGCTGAAATCTTTGTTATTTTAAATTCAACAACTATAATCTATAATCGTTACTTTTTAATACTGTTTACTGTACAGTGTACTGTACCATTTAATGTTTTAATTGCAATTTAAAACAATAATATGTATAACAACGTTTATGTGATTCATTATCTAGACTATCCCAGTGGAAAGTAACAGCAAATGCATAATTTTTAAATTAGTCAGAACACGGAATAATTTTATTGAATCTAAATCAACAAAACAAGCATGACTTATGAAAATGTTTAACATATATCAGGTCCGTTATTAATTTTGTTTCTTTTTTCTTTTTTTATAAAAAAAATGGTATTAACTTGCAACATCAATAATTGTCTTTTTTCTCCAATTATTCATTGCAACCTGTAAGGCCTTTTTTGTTATCCCTGTACTCTGCACCAATTTGTGCAGGTCCTTGATAAGATAGGAGCATATTTCCTCCGGCTTTGCTTTCCCAAATAGAAAATGTCTTTTGCGATCCAGAGCCTAGCAGTGACATATTGGGTGCTCTGCTGTTTCAGGATCTTTATCTGCAGCAAAGACTTCCTTGGTACAGGTTGAGCTTGTTCAGGTAACACTTGACAAACTTATGTCTTGTCAAGAAATCTGTTGTAGTCAGCACTTTATTCCTGCTAAGCATTAGCAACAAAAAAACACAAAGGAACGTGTTTTTTTTTCAAAATTTCAAATTATGTATCTTGTCATGTCATATCTGTGTGACATTTTCAAATATGTTATGGCATTTTATTGTCACATCAGAGCATATAGATACTACTTATTGGTTTTAAAGTAAGAATAGTAGATACATACACATTTTATATAGAAATTATATAAAATGTATTATCTATATGTTAATTTAAACTAAATGAATAAAATATTTTCATTCATTACAGGTTGTAGCCATGAAGATGCACAGCATGAAACTGGCTATGCCTCTCTTGGGGGTACTCTTATGGGTACTTTCCATTCACGCTGGAATATTTTCCGATGCCAGCAACCAACGTTTGTTGTCCAACTTCGAAGGTATGTCGCTTTTATCTTCTTAGTTAGTCATTCTTATTAATTCGCAATGAATCAAGAATAACATTTACTCGATCTGATTTCTTTATTTATCTAAAGATTCATTCTAAAGTTTGCAAATAAATATTTTTAAATTGTTCAAAGAAAACACTGCTTTTTTCCAGAAACCTTTTTTGCTTCTTTAAAAGTTATTTTGTTTGTGTAAATAGCAGTTGTTTTCTTTGATTTTAATCTTGGTAACCATTTTTTTTTGTCCTATTTGATGTTTTCTCTACAACCATTTTCTTTTAGGTTGTTATTAAATAAAAATGCGCAGACTTGTTCGGTGGGGGAAAATGCCGCTTTGTAAGGGCTGTTAATTATTTTAATAAAAATCTAAAACCTGGATAAAATGTTATTCGTAGATAGTATCTAGTAAGGAGGTAAGAATACTACTCTAGATTTTCAGAGAAATCTTGCAAAATATGTTACATATACATTTCTTATGTTTTTTACTAGTAGATCTAAATCACAGCCTATTTTTAGGTTTGTTTTTCGATCCTTGGCAGTTAGCTCGTCATTTTCTAAACGGTCTATAAGTTTCGAGCTGTTAATACCGTGTGATCGAAAAAAACGGCGTCTAGTTGGCTTAGAAATGAACATGGATCTCACTCATATAATTTTACATAATAAAATGACAGCGAGCTTCATTTCATAGCCATCGCTGACGCTGTTTTTTTTCGATTATATGGTACTAGGACTATGTTCGTCTTTTTCTATTTGTGTAGACTAGACAAGGAAGAACTATTACTGAAATTTACTGACATTTATTATTATAATTTATTGAATATTTCCGGTGAAACAGGAAGTGACTTCAACTTCAATAACTACAACTTTTGATTTTTGTGGCCTCAAACAAATGACTACATCTTTTGATTTTTAAATGGCACTCTTGGTATTTTGTTACTTTATTCGATAGAAAATGACACTCTGAATAGAATGGCATATCGTATGTCAACTTTTGACATTTTTGAATATAGTTTATTTGAAATTGCAACATGCGATTCATAAAGACAGTAAGTGTGTGGTACCAAATTATTCGTAAAAAAATGCTTTTTCTAAATATGCTAATGAGCTACCCTAGTTCTATTTAAAAAAATTGAGATATGATTAAAAGTACGATTTGGACATCTTTTAACAGGCCAGGACAAAACACTAAAAAGATTAGACAATCAAATCTATTTTTCCAAGGCTCCTTGATTAAAAATTAATGTTTTTTTAACACAGCCATGGCACCCTAGATTGACATTTAAAATACAATTTTGTTTTAAGCGAAGATGTCAAACGTTGACATACGATATGTCATTCTATTCAGAGTGTTATTTTCTATTGAATAAAGTAAAAAAAATACCGAGGGTGCCATTTAAAAATCAAAAGTTGTAGTCATTTCCGATGAAACAGGAAGTGGTCGAAAAGAATGGAATACGTCAGTCAATGCTAATTTGTGTCATATACTAGCATACCAAATCTCGTTTTTTTATCTGAAAAAAATAAAAAAGTTATAGGGGTGAGCCACTTTTATTAATGTTTTGTGAAATTTGCGTTTATTAGCATTATATGATTTAAAAAATTCGTGCAATCATAAGATTCATGAAATTTCATGAAAATTACTGATAATTTTAATTAGAATAAAAGCATCTATTAAGTTTTACAGTTATTGCAGCGTAATTAAACTTGTTTTGGTAACAGAGTAGAGTAGAAGCGTGTGTAACAACTTTCACTTAAATAATAATAATTATAATAAAATAGCACTTTGCGCTACTTAAACAATGTGTCCATTAAATAGGTAAATAACTTGTTGTAAGTGAATATCCCTGACATTGAAAAAAACTATTGTTTTTGCATCTCAAATTTCAAGGGCGATTTTAAAGTGGAATAAGTTCGTGTTTCTATTAAAAAAATCAACAACTGATAATTATTTATGTATTAGTTGTGAATGTTTGTTAAAATAAATACAAATAAATGATTCGAACTGTATTCCGAAAACAGCATTATCGACAGCAAATTCTGCAGATAAAAATATGTAAAAAAGTCAGTATAAATGTATATCCTAAAATGCTTACTTTTGGAGATACAGGGCGTTGAAGTTTCATTTTTATTTCGATTTTTTCCAAATAATTTCTGAAGTAACGTCAATATTTGGATGAAAATTGGTGTCTGGCAGTTTTGAGACATGAGAAATTTGACTTTGATGTCAGTATAACTCCTACTTGTAGAGAGCGCCACCTACATATTTTTTAACTGTTATGAAGAGTAATATGTTTTCGTCCGTGCTTGTATAAAACTACTGGGTAAAAAATATACATTTACGACGTTTTTTACGTAAAAAACGTGTCTTGGTTAAAATCGCTACGAGTAATGGTTCTCGAGATATTTGGAATCTAAATTATCAATTCTTGTCATAATTGATATAAATTAAACATGTTTACACTAAATAGTTATTAGACTGAAATTATAAATTTGGAATGTTTTTGTATCAAAAGTTCAACAGAAATTGTTTGGTCAACATTTTTTCGACGAAAACTTTATGATTAATTTAAAAAAAATGAAACGTTCCCAAATTTATCATTTCAGGCAAATAACTATCTACTCAACATATGTTTATTTTTTTTAATAATGACATGTATTGACTATTTCCATTCTAAATATCTTGAGAACGGTTGCTCGTAGCGATCTTTTCCAAGAGACATTGGGTGCGTTCACCAGACGACAGCAGCTAACTTTAAGCGCTAATCGTTGTGTATGAATATCGGGCAGCAGATGGAAATTGGCTGAACGCCCCGCTGAGTTCAACATTCAACTGTCAGATTAGACTGTTGGACATAACCTTTTTTTATTAATATTCATATTCATAAAAATATTTTTACCGCCGTATTCTAAGTTTTGTCACTTTTATCTTTAATGTAAAGCAATAAAAGGAAAGCGGATATCTAATCTGAAATGGAGATGGATAACAATCAAATTCGGAGACTCTATTAATTAAAAACCTTATAATTAGCTTATATTAAAATAAAAAAAAAACAGATTTAATGGGTATAATATAAAATACAAACAATATTCATGTTAATATGTTTCTTTGGGTAGAAAACATTGTTTAAAAAGGTTCATTTTTTCATTTTGTAGCCTGTTGCTTTCCTCAATGCTTTCACATATTGTTTTCAGTTCTTTTAGTTTCTCTTCTTTACTTCTAACTGCCTTTTTCTAAGTCTGTCCAGTCTATTTGCTTGAGCTGATTTTTGATATAAAGCCACAGAAGGTGTATCTTCTGATACAGACTATTGTCCAACTGCAGAAGTGGATGGACTCGACAGTGGGTTAGACACAATGTTGCTGGAGCTACTGTTGTTGCTACAGCTTGCCTTATCCTCCAGCTCAGCACTAATTTTTGAGTCTATTTTGGTTGAAGAGAGTATATTTTTTGGCAGATTTACTGTTTTGTTCTCTTGGAACATATCCATAAAATAATTATAGTATTCCCACTGAATCCTTCCCCTACCAGTTGATTTCTTTTTATTATTGTTATCTAAAATTGTTCGATAAGTGTTTTTCATGTTCCTCATTTTGCGATCCAATAAATCAGCATCCACAAAATAACCTTTTTTTCTCATTTCCAGAGCAATTTCGTCCCATAATGTTTTTTTCTTAGTTTTTGGATCCCTAAACTTTAAAAATCTGGTTTTGTATGCATCGAGCATCAAAAGGGTACTTTGATGTGTCCATGTAAACTTTTCCTGATCTAAAAAAAAATAAATTAAATTAATTGGCCCTCAAAGTTATCATTAGATCCCTCCAGTTCAAAGTTAACAATAGATGCCAGTAGATACTCCCAACGCAAAAGAAAGTTATTGGTCTTTCTTACATTTTCATTTTATAATAAATCTGCATTTCATTTAAATTGTATTCATATGATTACACTAGGATTTCTATTCACCACCATGAGGGGACTCCTTAGTGTTTTCAAAAACAGTATTTTCCTGTGCTTCTCTGACTGGATCCGCGTCAACTTGTTAAAAAAGGAGCCGTCGCGAAATAAAACTAATTCGTTGGATTCTCAACACAGACTGACTTTACATTCAAAAAACATTTTACAACTAAAAGATCATAAAAGAAACAATAAAAAACATATGGTCCAACTTTCCCTTAGAAGACAAGGGTTGAAAATGATAAGATATTATTGTGGAATAGTACAAGTATGTATACCCATGAACAAAACAGTTAAAATATAATATGTAACTCTATAAAATAACCAAAAGATCTAATACTGTTTGCATTTTTAGATAAATCTTGCGAATATGTGTCTCTCACACCAAACATAAAAAGACAGTTCAGCTTAGTTGTGTTGAAATGTAGCCCAAAATATTGTATACGCCACTGTGTTGGATAGTATTTATGGGTGACCCTCCACCTATAAATACTATCCAACACAGTGTATCCAATAGTATTAGATCTTTTGGCTATTTTATAGAGTTACATATTATATTTTAACTTTTTTGTTCATGGGTATACATACTTATACTATTCCACAATAATATCTTATCATTTTCAATTACTGGTTGCTGATCCTCCTCAGAAAACACCAAACTGTTGGATGAGATAATTTTCTGCAAAGGATGACATAATTTTCTGCATTAGGATCCATAGTACGTTTTTTATAAAAAAATAAACAATTATAATAAGACAAAGCCATAGCCCGCCAAAACAAACAACAACAAACGAGCATCATATGTCAATTATGTTACATGTCAAGCCCATGATACAAAGAATACAAGGTATGATATTGCGCAGGTTGGTTACTACGTCACAGGTGATAAACGGCACCATTGGTCGGCAAGCTCCGCGCGCCAATTTCAAATTGTCAAACAGATGACACAATAAACGCGAAAATAATTTTTCAAATGTCAAGCTCGATAATTTGACATAACTTTTGGGGTTATGTCCTGATTCTTCCCTATTTTAGGTCTTTTTTTTATTAGTGGCATTTGAACAATATGGATATTTTTCTGTATGGCGTATGACGTCACAGGTGGTATGCGCAAACTTAACGAAATTGGAGCCGCTATCGATCATACCTTGTTTTCTTTGTACCATGTGTCAAGCCTATGTTGAGTTGGTCAGCACAAATGATTCGCGCAACTGTTGTCATCTGATGAACGCACCCATTTTTAACGTAAAAAATTACGGAAATGTGTATTTTTTCACTCAGTAGGTTTTATACAGGTACGGACGAAAAGTTATTACTCTTCAAAACAGTTAAAACACATGTAGGTGGCGTCCCCTAGTCATGTTGACATCAAAATCAAATATCCCATGTCAAAAAACTCCCAGATACCAATTTTCATGAAATGAATTATGAATGAAACTTCTACACCCTGTATCTCCAAAACTAAGCATTTTAGAACATACATTTATACGAACTTTTTTACTTATTTTTAACTGCAGAATATGTTGCTGAAGTTTCCGGAATACAGTTCGGACCACCCTGTATGTCACAAAATGGCTTAGTTCAAAGATAATATACAGGGTGTTTCAAAACAAATGCGAAAAACTCTAGGGGGTGATTCCTTGTTCAAAATAAAGGGTAGTTTGCTTTATAAACGTGGGGTCAACAGTCAACCATTAGGGAGATATTGCGGTACAAAGATGGCGAAAAAATAATGTTTTTATTTTTTATCTTGAAAACAAAAAGAGATAGACTAATGAAATTTTATGGAAGCGTTACTGTTATGAAAACACACTTTCTGGTAATTTTTTCACTTTTTTAAAATGAGTGGAAGGGGTTTAAATAAACTACCCCTATCATTCTTGTTAACGAAATTTAAAGAAAAATCTTATCAAACACATGCAAATGCTTTAATTTGGATAGTTTAGTTTGTTTAGAAACTTTTTTATCTCTTGTGTTTCTTTGATAAAACTCACCGATTTGAAATTAAAAAATAAAATGTAAAGAATTACATATCAGGACAAAAAACATTTTTAGATTAAGAATCTAGTGATAATAACGATAATAATAATCATCTAGATAATAACGTATTGCAGTAGAGTAATGTCAAATAAAATAATATTAGGAACATCCTAAAAAGTAACAGCGGCCGACTAGATTTTTTCCTAAAAAAATTACAGCAGCCAACTAGATTCTTTATCAGAAAATGTTTTTTGTTCTGACATGTAAGGCTTAACATTTTATTTTTTAATTTCAAATCGGTGAGTTTTATCAAAAAAATACAAGAGATAAAAAAGTTTCTAAACAAACTAAACTATCCAAATTAATTTTTTTGCATGTGTTTGATAAGATTTTTCTTTAAATTTCGTTAACAAGAATGATAGGGTAGTTTATTCAACCCCTTCCACTCATTTTAAAAAGTGAAAAAATTACCAGAAAGTGTGTTTTCATAACAGTAACGCTTCCATAAAATTTTATTAGTCTATCTCTTTTCGTTTTCAAGATAAAAATAAAAAACATTATTTTCCCGCCATCTTTGTACCGCGATATCTCCCTAATGGTTAACTTTGACCCAACGTTTATGAAGCAAACTACCCTTTATTTTGAACAAGGAATCGCCTCTGAATTTGTTCGAAACACCCTGTATAAACACCCTGTATCTGGCCATTAATTTCCGTATCTGGCCATATTATTTTAAAAAAAACCGTTTTTGTTTGAGGGCATTATATTGCCCTATTGGCATTTACTTGACTTGCCGAGTCTGTTCGCAGGTTTTTTCGAGGATTCGGAGGAGAATTCCATCGTGAAAAGAGAAAACAAGGTGGAAGAAGTTCTGAAAGACATCACCAAGAAAGACCTGAACCACACTGTGAACTTTGCCATTGACATCGTGGGCTTCATGAAGAGATTGGAGAATAATTTGTTGTGGGCGAACATTAAGGTAAAATATATTTAGTAAACGTAGAGTCTTTTCACGCAATTTATATTATTTATCACGTGATATATTATCACGCCTTACCATTCGTTACGGAGCGTGATGTATTTATATGTAGTATTGACATAAATTTCATATTGATACGTCTAAATATTAATCTCGGCACCAAATACCAGAATAACTATTAAAGTATCGAAAAAATTAATGGATAAAACTATACAGAAAATAAAAATAATCATTTTTAAGTAAATTAAGTTCGGAACTACGCCATCTTTCGCAACTGACAGCACAATTGACACCTCACGGAAAGCTTATTTGTAATAATTTTGCCCAATGTGAGTCTGTGACATACATCATAGTATACAGGGTCCAGGGGGCACAAACGATCTTTAAGGTTGCAGTGATTAACCCCCCCCCCCTCCTACTCATAGAGGGTCCAGCAAAAAGGCGTCGGGCATCTGTAGCTCCTAGAATAAGAAACTTGAGAATTTTGTATATAATAAGTACCGTATGATCGAGAAAAAACGGCGTCAGCGATGGCTATGAAATGAAGATCGCTGTCGTTTTATATGTAAATTTATATGGAAAATGTCATCGATCGTCATTTCCCAGCCAACTGGACGCCGTTTTTTTTTCGATCATACGGTATAATATAAAAATAAAGTATGTACTAGGATGTATTTCAGGAAAATATTTTAACTTCTATAGGGTGGCTCAAAAAGTGTGAGTGGATCGGGATATTTTTTTTTTAAATGGAACATCCTGTATGTTATTGCATTTTTGGCTTCTTTTCAGATCGCTTTATATAACCCTAATATATGGGTAAATATATTTCGATAGTTTCAGAGATATTAAGAAATAAATAAAAAATATATATTTTTCAGCCTTTCAAAAGTGATTGATGGCCTTGGCCTTTGACCTTTGTAGACTACCAAAAAGCCTTTGACAGCATCGAAACCTGGACATTTCTAGCTGCAATGGAGGACGCGAGAATTGATTCCAGATATTATTCCATTATTAAAAATATCTATGATAGTGCAACCTTCCAAGTTAAATTAGATGATGACCTCAAAACAGAAAAAATACCACTCGGCAAGGGCGTGAGACAAGGAGATACCATCTCTCCCAAGTTATTTACACTGGCACTGGAAAATGTCTTCAAGAAATTAGAATGGGAAAATAGAGGTCTAAACATCGATGGGGTACACCTTAGCCATCTGAGGTTCGCAGACGATATTGTCTTGCTGAGCACCGACATTCAAGAACTAAACACCATGCTAAATGAGCTAAATGACCAATCCCAGAAAATTGGCCTTAAAATGAACTTGAAGAAGACCAAGATAATGAGCAACAATATCCATAACATTACCGTTGACAACGTTATTATTGAAAACGTAGACCATTATATATATTTAGGTCATAAAATCAAGCTGGGCAAGGAAAACCAAAATACGGAGATCAAACGCAGGATCCATTTGGCATGGGTAGCATTTGGAAATATGAGCGATATTTTCAAGGATAAAAAGGTGCCCATGAACCTAAAGAAAAAGGCTTACGACAGCTGCATTCTACCTGTGCTTACGTATGGCTTAGAGACTATGGCAATTACCCGAAAAACAGCAGAACAACTACGAGTAGCACAAAGAGTCACCATTAGGGAAAAAATACGGAATACCCACATACGTCAAAAAACAAAATTAATAGATGTCGTTAAAAGAGTGGCAAGTCTGAAGTGGCAATGGATAGGACATGTGGCAAGACAGGATCCACACCGATGGCCCCAAAAAGTAATTCTATGGAGACCTAGGGGAACAACAAGAAGTGTGGGCCGACCAAAAAAGAGATGGGTCGATGACGTCAGGGCAGTGGCGGGAAGACAATGGATAAGATTGGCTAGAGATCGCGAAGCATGGAATATCCAACACTGGATGGAACCAGGCTGAGAAAGAAGAAGAAAGAAGAAAAATGAGTAAAAATACAAGAACGGTCCTGAAATCAAAACTATATTATCCGTACTTACTTTGCTATAAATATGGTAATGGTAAATCATACAGGATGTTCAAAATTCTACGCCAAACTTTCTAAAATATAAACTAAATAATGTTTCTTGTTTTTTTTTTAATGGAACACCCTGTATATTATTTTTTCAATAGAATTAAAAAATGAACAAAATGAAGAATTCAACAGAATTAAAAAATGAATATTTTTTGTATTTAGAGTTATTTCTATTTTTTAACGGTTTTGCAGATATTCGCGGTTTTATACCGTATGATCGAATAAAAACGGCGTCCAGTTGGCTTGGAAATGACGATCGATGGCATTTCCTATATAAATTTACATATAAAATGACAGCGATCTTCATTTCATAGCCATCGCTGACGCCGTTTTTATTCGATCATACGGTATTTCATATAGCATTTTCCACAGTAAATTTTTATCAAAGCCACCCAATGATTTTTCTCTCATATTTTACCGTTGAAAGAGCCATATGAAATAATACTGTTTGTATCTGCGAATCCATTAAAAAAAATTAAATACTCTAAATATAAAAAATGTTTTTTTTTCTTACACTGTTAATTATATAGTTAAGCTTTTGCAATAGTACAATTATTAACCAAAACCATAACAATATTAACATATAATTTTGGATGTTTAAAGAAATATAATTGTACCATGATTACATTCTGCTTTGCATTTTAAGATTAATGAAAATCTCTTTCCAGGTGACAGATGGAACACCTTCCCATGGAATGCTTATTTCGTTTGGTCCTGAACCGGAAGCAGTAGAACGAGGAAAGGACGCCCTGGTTGCACTGAAAGCCACCAATCAGCTTATGCATATGTTCTGTGATAAGTAAGTGTCTATATTTGTTAGAAATATCCTTTGAATAAGAAGACTAAGGAAGGAGCATAATGGTATACCATCCATGTATTCATGCATGGTGGGCGGAAAAAGGACTCTAGGGTGGGGATCCTTGACAGTTCTGTTTGACGATTCATTTGACACATTTGAATTTGATTTGAAATTTTGTGGATTTATCAGTCTTTACTGAGCTTATTTTATATTATTTATTATTTATTCTACTACTGATAGTTGTATAAAGGTAGTAAATCTAGATGGAAATTGTGGCAAAACTTAAATTAACAGTGACACTATCGCGATTTATCGAAAAAGACTCTAAAATAGTTATTATAATAATATATTTTTATAACAATTTTATTAACTACCAACATTTATTCACAACGTAATATAAAAAAAATTATTGAGTCTACCCCACGTTTACCCTACATCATAGTTTTACATTTTTTAAATAAAATTAGAACGGCACTGATAAACCGGAATTTAAGTCGGCCATATTTGAGTCCCATTGCGGTGGACCTAAGATTTTTGATATGCTCCTTCCTTAGTCTTCTTATTCAAAAGAAATATCCAAACTTCTAATCACATTTATATAATTTTAAATAAATCTGACACAATAGTCTAGAATATGACACAATTTACCCACAATATATTATAAAAACCGTCCAGCTAACAAACCTTCGTGATAATCACGTGATTTTATAGTTTTTGGAACGAAAATTCTGTCGTGTATATCATATAGAAAAAGATAGGATTCACGACAGACAGTTGTCTGTCATTTTAATTCACAACTAAGTTGTATTTTGTGTAAAAAATCCGTGACAATCAGAAGATATTACGAGCCCTAACAACTATAATATGTTGGGACAAGGTCTTTTTTGCAATAAAAATAGTAATTTGTTAAAACGACTCAATTTATTTTGTTTATTATTCTAAATTCAAACGTTACAATAGGATCTAGACAATTTTACTATATTTTTATAACTTTGCAAAGAAATCATTTTTGATAATAGCTTATTTTGCCAAAATCAAGCCAAATTTGCTGATAACTATATATTGGGACAGCACAACAAGAAATTTGTTTAATACGGAGTTACATCACCTTTCGCCGTAACAACTGCCTGAACTTTCAATGGCATTGTATTTACAAAAGATTGGCACATTTGAGGAGAAAAATTATGTCAAATTTCCTGCAGTTTTGTCCGTAAATCAAAAATTGTTCGTTGAGGGTGGTTTCTTAAATATTGCTTCATTTTATGCCACACAGTTTCTATAACATTGAGGTCCGGACTACTTGCAGAATTTTTAGTTAATTTTGCTGAATGGCACGATGCTCCATCTTGTTGGAAAATATAGTCTTCGTTTGGAAACAATTCTTGAGCACTAGGCAAAGTGAGGTCTCAAGTATATGTTGATATTTTTGAGCGTTAACAGTGCCATCTATAAATTTTAATTTGCCCAAACCCCATGCAACCCCAAACCATAATTAACTTAGGAAATTTAACAACCCTCTTTAAGCAATCTTTATGAAAGGCTTCTGCTTTATTTCGTATTATTCGTTTTCAATGATCTCCAACGCAAACATCAAATTTAGACTCATCGCTAAATATGACCTTATTCCAATCATTTTGTGTCCACGATAATTTAGATTTTGCCCAATTTTTCTTTTGAATTTCTGTCAGTAGCGGTTTTTCTTTGGCCTAAATAAGAATTTGTATCAATAATCTTCAGGTAATTGATTATCCACACAAAATAAAGTTTACCTTGTAAAACCCCAGACCGCATTTGTGGATATATTTTCGGCAACATTCTCTTGATATATTTAAACCAGTTACTGTATTCCATTTAACTGTTACTTCGCGAAGAGTACTTCTTCTCGCAGACTTGCAACTTTTTACTAAATTTCGTAAATCTCTCTGAGATACAACTTTTGGCCTTCCCAAACTTTTACCTCTAATCTCTACATTGGCAGATTCGCCGTATTTTTTTTATTATATTAAAGACCGTGGTTTTTGGAATACTTAAATCATCACAAATTTTTCGAATTGTTTTTCCACGGACCATTGCTTTGAAATAAAAACACTAAATCACCACAATACACCAAAACACTTTTACTTTCACACTGGACGCGCGTTTCGCTAACCATGTTAGCATCATCAGCAGATGATTATAAACTCAAAGTTTATAATAGTGTTTTTACACAAGTGTTTTGGTGTATTGTGATGATTTAGTGTTTTTATTTTGCTGTGTAACACCAAAGGTTCCAACCCTCAACTGTAACCATTACTTTGAATTAAATTAAAAAAATTAAAATGACTTACAGTAAATCTCACTACTCAAAGTATCGACTCACTTACAAGCTGGTAATGCTGAATAAACAGTTTGCAACATTTGTGACGTTTATAGCAAAGCCGCCTATGACCAAAATATGACCTTGTCCCAACATATAGTTAGTTGTTAGGGCTCGTATTACTTAAATCAGGGAAAATATTTGATTTTTCTCGGTCGTAAGTCCTGAGACATTCCAGGTTACGGATGGAATCTTCCAGGTCCTTGACTTCACCTTTAAGTTGGTTTCCACTTAGGAAGCAGAACGGTTCGGGTCCAGTTAGTGGAGTGTTCGCTCCTTTTCTAGCTAGATCGTTTGCTTGCTTTTTCATTATCTTCTATCCCTTGGTGGGCTAGCACCCAGTGTAAGAGGACTTTATTTTCTTTGCCTCATTTGTTCAGCTTCTTTAGGCGTTCTTTGACCAACTTCGAATTGATGGTTACTGAGTTGATCGCTCTTAAGGGTGCTGGTGTGGTGCCTATATTGGTTCGGAGTATTTAGTTTTCGCCTAAACACTCCTAATCCCTGTCCACAAGAAACCTAATTGAAGAAAAATAAATTTAATAGATCCCTAAAAAGATATTTTATTACATAATTCCGCATTGTCTACCCCTTTTCATCAAACCATACGTTACATTGTTTCAGGATAACAAAAGCTAGTTCGAAACCCTTGTCCAGCAAGGACTGCGCCAAAATTATGTCTAGATTTTCGTTCCAAGGTACTGCTTTGGACCACGCCTGTGATTTGCTCAGTTTGCCATGTAAAAAGGAAGAGTACAATTCGCCCTACAGATCGTTGAACGGAAGCTGCAATAACATCGTGAAAGGGCATAAGGGAGAATCATTCACTGGGTAACTTACCTAACGATTATAACCTTAAATATATTCTTTTAAAACGATTATTTTACAGATTTTCCAGATTGCTTTATGCTGATTATTCGGATGGAACTCACGGTCAGCGTCGATCTGTGACCAAGAAAGTTTTACCTAATCCACGTGTAGTGGTCAGCTCGTTGGTGAGGTATAACGGTAAACCGTCCAATAAATTTACGTTAGCGCTGATGCAATGGTCTCAGTTTATTGAGCACGATCTCAGTAGATCAGCTACTGCAGTAGCAAGTAAGTTATTTACAATATTTACTAATCTATACAGGGTGAGTCTTAAATAAGTACAAATATTTTCAGGCCTGATAGATCTCGATAAAGCAAACATATTTTCTCTTTACCGTTTTTTAAAGTAAGTCCAAAATAACCAAGTTATTTTACTTTGAAAACTTCCAGAAAAAATATATTTTCCTTAAGTTTTAAGAACCACTGGATCTTTTCTCGGTTTTCTTTCTTGTAAATTTAATCTACTACCTATGTTGCCATATTATCAAGAAATTATGTTTTTTAACTAAAAACAATTTTTTTTTCAAAAAATTCCAAATTTTCATATACTACCCTTAAAAATATTTGCACTATAATTTAAGACTCATCCTGTATACATATACAGGGTGGTCCGAACTGTATTCCGTAAAAACAGCATATTCTGAAGATAAAAAATAAGTAAAAAAGTTCGTATAAATGTATGTTCTAAAATGCTTAGTTTCGGAGATACAGGGTGTAGAAGTTTCATTTTTATTTCCATTTTTTCCAAATCATTTCTGAAGTAACGTCAATACTTGGATGAAAATCGGTATCTGGGAGTTTTTTGACATGAGAAATTTGATTTTGATGTCAATATGACTTCTACTTGTAGAGGGCGCCACCTACATATTTTTTAACTGGTTTGAAGAGTAATAATTTTTTGTCTGTACCTGTATAAAACAACTTAGTAAAAAATATACATTTACGACTTCTTTCTACGTAAAAAAGGTCTCTTGGTAAAAATCGCTACGAGTAGTCGTTCTCGAGATATTTGGGATCGAAATTATTAATACCTGTCATCATTGACATAAATTAAACAACTTGACTAAATAGTTACTAGACTGAAATCATAAATTTGAAATATTTTCCTACCAAAAGTTCAACAGAAACTGTTTTATCATCTTTTTTTCCCAGAAAAATTTATGATTAATTTAAAAAAATAAAGATTTCCCAAATATTGTCATATATTGTTAATATTATTACAATTATTATTTCAGCCAAATAACAATTTACTCAACGTATTTATTTTTTGTCAATAATGACCTGTATTGACTACTTCCATTCTAAATATGTTGAGAACGGTTGCTCGTGGCGATTTTTACAAAGAGACATTTTTTACGTAAAATGTCCCGGAGATGTATATCTTCTTACTCAGTAGTTTTATACAGGTACAGACGAAAAGTAATTACTCTTCAAAACAGTTAAAAACATGTAGATGGCGCCCCCTACAAATAGAAGTCATATTGACATTAAAATCGAATTTCTCATGTCAAAAAACTCCCAGACACCAATTTTCATCCAAATATTGACGTTACTTTCGGAATTATTTGGAAAAAATGGAAATAAAAATGAAACTTTTACACCCTGTATCTCCGAAACTAAGCATTTTAGGACATACATTTATACAAACTTTTTTGCTTACTTATTTTTAACTGCAGAATACGCTGCCAAAGTTTCCGGAATACATTTCGGACCATCCTGTATATAAATGAAATGACGTTTGTTAGTCTCGCTATAACTCGAGAACGGCTGGACTGATTTGGCTAATTTTGGTCTTGAAATATTTGTAGAAGTCCAAGGTAGATTTAAATGGCGACAAGTTATGAATAAATTGCAAGAAAAATACTAAAGAAATACAAAATAAATTTGACGTTTAACAACTGTTGTTATAACGTTATAAATGTTTAACATTTATAACGTTATAACTTAAGAATGGTTGGGCCCATTTTAATGATCTCTGTTTTGTTGGATTCATTTCTGCCCCGAATAGTCGAATAGCTATTAAAATATCGGAAAAATATATAAAAAAATTATTAATATTAAATATTATATTAATAACTTTTCTTTTCAGTCCATACGGATCATTCCATAGAGTGTTGTAGCGAAGAAGGTGAAACCCTGTCACCTAGATACATCCATCCATTTTGTTCTCCCATCTATGTGACGAACGATAAGGATTATTCGAAACAAGGAGTTCGTTGTTTGAATTTTGTCCGATCCATACCAGCTATCCGATCGGATTGCACGTTTGGGGCTTCTGATCAGGTAAGTTTTGAATTAAAAAACACATTTAATTATTTATTTAATATTTCAAAAACCTTTGCGTTCTCGCTTACTTTGTTGACTCTTTGTGTTCAATGAGTTGGACTAATTAAACTTGATTTTCATGCATCCGTTATCCGTTGATACCATGGGCCGACAACGCTCTGATTGGTCATAGCGATTTCGCGCCACTTTTCATCCGTAAATTATTTTACTCCAGCCCGTCGACGGAGAAAGATTGTACGATAACGGACGTTTTGACACTTTTTTGGCAAATTTAATCTAACCTTAATAAAAATATAATAGTTCAAGAGCTAGCCATGTCGGGAAAACGAGAATTTAAAAAAAAACTTGTTCTTTAATATATCTTTTGCTATGCTCTCCCAAGGGCGCATACACGGGAGGGGTAATGGCAATGGGGGTAATTACCCCTCCCAGGAAGAAATTTATAAATAAGAAAATTTGGTATGAAATAAAATTATCACAAAATAAATTAATAATAACAATCGAAATAGAAATCCAGAACAATATAAGTTTATTTTTTTCCATAGTCACTATACCGAGCACAGTACCTTTCAGAGAAATTTTAATTTAAATCTATTACTTTATTTAAATATTACCCCTCCCAGACTCAATCTCTGGATGCGCCACTGTGCTCTCCTGACCAAAGTGTAGGCCATCTGACTACCGGTAGACTACTATGGTTCACTACTGCGCATCACATCTGTACAGGGTATCTCATTTTCGTGTGGTTTATGGGATTTCTTGTTTATGAGTAGAGATACAATGATGCGATTTTTGCATTACTTTGCTACTATTTTATATAACTAAATATGCTACACATATGTTCGTCCTAGCCTCCTTAGTTCCTGAAATACAGGACGAATTTGTGATGCGCAGTAGGGAACAGATGTTGAATACAAATATGATGCGCAGTAGTGAACGCAATGGCTACCGGTAGCCAGACGGTCCGCACTCTGTTCTGAGACAACATAGCAAAAGATATATTAAAAAAACAGCTTTCTTAAAATTCTCTCTCGAAAGCGTTACTAGCTCTTAGTTTATAAGTAAAACAGCGAAATCGTTATGGAAATGAAAATATAAAATGACACCAATCACAAAAGCAAATCGTATATCCGATGAACGGAGGCATGAAAATGCAATAAATTTAAAAACTGCGTAATTTTCTAACCAATCGAAGTCTTTAAATTCAACCAATAAAATTAATATCCTATCATCGTATCCTCGGATAACGGATGCATGAAAATCAAGCTTTAGTGATAATTTCAGGAGTTTTTGTGTTTAAATGTAAAAATGGGTGAGTCCTATTTATAATTATTATAATTTTTGTTAAAGGTGAATCAAGCTACACACTATTTGGACGGATCCCAAATCTACGGGTCGACCGATCAAAAATCCGCAGAACTGCGTGCGTTCAAGGACGGAAAATTGGCAACAACCACTTACGAAGGTCACTCGTTTTTGCCGCTGTCTAAAGATCCCACTCACGATTGCCAAATATTCTCCAAGAATTCCGTGTGCTTTAATAGCGGAGACGCCAGAGTCAATTTTCAACCACAGGTAAACCGTCAAACAGATTTACAGAATGTGTCAAATTCGAGGGAGAGCATTGGGATCTCAGAAAACATAAGAGATACGAAGGAGGACAAATTTTGGGAAAGTTTTGCCAATATGTCCAAAAGAATGACGTTTTGAAAAACAAAAACATCTTCGTATCTTTTATAATGGTACGTATACATTGGTGCGCTGCGCAGCGAACGCGCGGCACGCGCGCACCAATTCGCCTCTATTGGTACGTGTTTTCAAGTTGCGCGCAAACAGCTAGCCGCGAACCATCTCCAGTCGGTTTTTCGACCTATGTTCGTTGTTCAATCCGCACAGTGGGCAAAAATCCAGAAGTATGTTGCAAAAATTCTTTTTTTGTACGATTTCATTCAAATTTGGTAAAAACATTCTATGCTAGTAGCCCGTGAACCCAGTTAGTTTTGGCTGACTTGAGAGTGGGGTGGGGGGGGGGGATTCATAAAATGGGAAAAATCATCTATTGACTAATACAGCTACCAAAAGGCGGTAAGAATATTTTATATTTCACTAAATTTTACGATTTTTGGCAGAGCCAAGATGAAACAGACAAATATTGAGCAATTATTACTCCTCCGGCATATACCTTTGAATAAGAAGACTAAGGAAGGAGCATAATGCTATCCATGTATTTATGCATGGTGGGCGGAAAAGCCACCATAAAAGCTCTCTAGGGTGGGGATCCTTGACAGTTCTGTTTGACGATTCATTTGACACATTTGAATTTTATTTGAAATTTTGTGGATTTGTCAGTCTTTACGGAGCTTATTTTATGTTATTTATACTGCTTGCTACTGATAGTTGTATAAAGGTAGTAAATCTAGATGGAAATTGTGGCAGAACTTAAATTAACAGTGACACTATCGCGATTTATCGAAAAAGACTCTAAAATAGTTGGTTGTGTAGCGTGCGGTAGATCTCGGCAAAAATTTCAGAAATAATGGAACAACTTTTCGCTAGTAAGTGACTAAATAATATACATACGTGTAGTAAACCGATCATTTATGAAATTCAGTTAAATTAACTAAATTATATATTTTTCATTGCATTTTTAGATTTTATTTATTACTTGTCAAAGATTAGATGTCAAAGAATTTAGATACGTTAATTTGACTTACCTGCTTCAGTAGCGTATCGGATGTTTGTGTTAATAAATACTTATTATAACTTATCTATTTTATTAGAATTATATATTTTTATAACAATTTTAATAACTACCAACATTTATTCACAACGTAAAATAAAACAACAAATTATTGAGTCTACCCCACGTCTACCCTACATCATAGTTTTACATTTTTTAAATAAAATTAGAACGACACTGATAAACCGGAATTTAAGTCGGCCATATTTGAGGCCCATCGCGGTGTACCTAAGATTTTTGATATGCTCCTTCCTTAGTCTTCTTATTCAAAGGCATATACAGTATGTTTGTCCGTTCTGTAGCTACGGGGTATCCGTGAGAGGGGAAACGATATTCTCTCGATGTTTTTCATAAAAAATTAGACGACGCGTCTCATCAATAAATATTCGACAAATTTGCAAGTAGCCAATAAAATGAGTGGGCGGAGCGATTTACGGTGACGTACTCGTCAAGTCGACGTATAAAATATATTGCTGTTTATTTAAATGTTTTTTGTCCGCATTCCTTTCATAGACACAGATCCAGCAGACGTACTGTACAGGGTTTGTTTTATATATTGACATCCTCTGTATCTTTTTTAATCGACGTTTTCGAAAAGAGTGTCTTGAATAAAAGTTTAATGGTCTCGAATACATTTTTCAAAACAGTCTTCTTTGCATATACAGGGTGCCTTAGAAATCCTGTGCGTGGCCCCAACTTTCTTATTTCAAATTAGTACCCAATTTCTTATTTGATTTTTATTTTCTCCTAAAAATCCTAACTACTTTTATGTAGGATAGCCTATACCCTTGTTTATATATTCTTCTATACCTAATTTGAAATAAGAAAGTTGAACCATGCCCAGACTTTTGAAGCACTTTGTATATGCAAAATAGACCAGCAGCAAATTTATTCAAAACCACTTTCATTTGAGACAGTTTTCGGAAACGTCAAATAAAAAAGATAAAGGGGGTGTCAATGTATAAAAGAAAACCCTGAGTATACTAATCCAATCTATTCAAGATTGTTTGTCATTTCAATAAGTTGGGTCTCTAATAATACCAGACAATATGTGAACAATATTTATTATTATATTTTAAATAAGTAACCATATTCTGAGAATTAAACAATGACGATTTAGAAAATAACAGAACTTATACCTATTAAAAATATCTAAATTTTATTTTACCATTTACTATTTACTGATATTTTGTTTTATAACAGCTGGATGCAATGGTCACGAAGTGCACATTTTTAAATCTGAAAGAAAAATCCATTTCATTTAATTTAAAAAATTTGGTACTGTCAAAATTTGTCAATTTGTCAAAAAAATGTCATTTGACATTTATGACATACCTCTTCGGAAATCTTGAGAAAAAATACGTAACTTTATATTTCAAGTTCTTCTCTAGCTACTATAATAATTAATTTATGAGAAGTGTCCACATAAAGGATCTTACTATACACATACGCATGGAGACTTACGCTTCCAATAAATTTAATGTTGCGATTTTTTGCGATTTTTTTGACTCAACTTTTCTAAGACAGAATATATGCCACTATCAAAAAAACCTTAAATGATTATGTTCTACTTTGACCTTTACCTAGTTTTTATCCAAAAAATCAAAATAAAAGATACTTTTTTACTTACCTTGACATTAAATTTACCGCAACCGGGAATCTACGTAAAACACGTTATGACAATTTCACAATAATTATTGACAGCAAGCTAAAGTCGTCCGATTCAATTGTTATAATACTGTGTCACTTGAATGCAACGCCTACTATTTAAAAAATTGTAGAAAAAAGGCAGTTATTGGACACAAATTTACTGAAAATGTAGGTTTTGCGCAAAGTTCGTTTTACAGCCCCTCGAAAGAGACTCCGAATATGTTTTTTTGTTAGTTTTATGTGGTTTCCTCTAAACTAATATGTTTCCAATCTAATGTTATTGTCATAAATGCTAACTGTGGATGTTATTTTTTGCAACTTGGTTTGGACATATTGCCTACTGTGGGCCGGTGAAGACACCGCGCGCATTTATCAGTGACTATGTGTGTTTTCTTTGAATAAATTCACTTTTTTGTGTTTTTCTTTGAATATTGTTTATTAATGGAGTGTTTAAAGAGTCGCACTATTAAAATTGCGTAGTTCTTGGACTTCTAAACTAATGTTCGCGGGATTTCTATGGATTGCGGGATGTTCGTTAAAAGAATAAAAGTAACGCGCGGCGCAGCGCACCAATGTATACGTACCATAATAATAATAACTCTTTATTTCCAAAAACTATACAAAATTGTCTACAAAGTTATAGTTTATATATTTGATATCAATTAAACTTTTAGTTACGTAATCGAGGGCGGGATTTTTAAATTAATTGTTGCCGACCATGGACATATTCGGCGCCGGACTGACTAACTGGAATTTAAATTTCCCCCTGGGGATTCAGGTGGTAGCTCTGCTGTAAAGAATATCAAGTTGCCACACTTGTTTATTTATTTCCTGACATTGTTAGTCGTTTTGAGACTTTAGTTTTGTATTACGAGTTTTTGGTTTAAATAAATAGTGTTATGATACTTTAATGTTGAAAACGTTTACTAGCAGACCTTGCAGTCGAACACTGTTCTTTTTAGAACTTATTTTAGCGCGATGTGTACAAGATAGCTTAATAGCCGTAAAAGCAACTTTATTAGAATATTTAAGAAGGCGAGTTTTGTTGATGTAAATAATAACTGTTTATGTATTTATAATTAATTAATTTTTCTTTTCTAAAATACTTTGATTAAAAGAAAATAGGTAAAAGTAGGCAACGTTGTGCCGGTCAAGCTTAATCATGTGACTAAAAGTTTATTTGATATTTTTTATTACAAACTATTATAGTTTCCGAGATCTCAACCTTCAATTTGGTACAGCCTGTATAAATAAATTATCTATATATTAATTGTATTTTTATTCTTTCAATAGCTAGCTCTTATGCACACGTTATGGTACAGGGAGCACAACAGAGTTGCCGATATGTTGGCTAAAGTGAATCCTAGCTGGAATGACGAGACGTTGTTCCAAGAAACTCGGAGGATTATCATTGCGGAAATACAGAAAATAACTTACGACGAATGGGTTCCAGCTGTATTGGGTATGTAAATACTGTTAAACAAATAATAATAATGTAGGCTGTTTTTCACATTAGAAAGATACGGCAATATAGAATTCAGTGGCTTGGTCAGATTTTGGCTATAATTTGTCATTAGTTTCCTCTCATCGCTTCCTCTCATTCTTTCTTTGCGTTAAAGCACTTCCAGCTCTTTGCAAAGTTCCCGATGTCGCTGTTCGTTGGCTTCTGCTGCTTCCTCTAGTCCCTCCAAAAAACCGCGCCCTAATGTTTTAAAGCGTCGGTATTCCAGTGCCAGACAGTGGGTACAACAGGTGCTCTATGGTTTCTTCTTCCTCTTCACATTCTCTGCAGTAGTCGTCGTTGGAAATCTTCCATCTCACGAAGTTTACCCCCGTGGGGCAGTTTCCAGTGACAACACCTACTTATTATGCGTACTAGGTTCTTTTTATGCCCTAGTAGCTATTTTTTTTGCTATCTACCACTGGCCACAGTCTTCGAGGTGTAGCGCAGTCCTCACGGTGTTGCCACGTCTCTTGCTGCTTGGCCTTAATGGTAGTGCCTATAGCTTCCTTCTGCGTGTTGATCGTCACAAGTGGTGGGTCATCTGCCACGGTCTCTCCCCTAGCTCCCTCTTTGGCGAGTCTGTCCGCTTCTAGGTTGCCCACTACATTGCTGTGGCCTGACACCCAGCACAGAGTGGCCCCGCCTTAATGTAGCCAGGACAGTGCTTCTCGGCAGTCCATCACAATTTTCGATCTTACTGATTGCATGGTGATGCTTCTTAAATCTCCCAAGCTGTCATCACGATATCTCCTATTGGTCTATCAGCGATTTTCTCTGGTATACAACTATGGCCGTTTACTTTATAGCGTAAACCTCTGCTTGTAGAACATTACAGCCATCTGATAACCATAAAGATAGTCACACTTAAATATTACCCAAATGTGTATTTTTTATCACATCCTTTCTTGTGGACGGCATTAACATTTATTTAATCTTAGGCAAGTCAGAGAGCGCCAAAATGTCAGCTAACGCCTACAACAAATTAACTGAAGCCACTGTGTCGAACTCGTTTGCTACCGCTGCCATGCGCTCGATCAAATCATTATCCGATGGAAAGCCAAAACTTTATGATGAAGACAGGTATGTATTTATTGTATTTAACAGTATATCAATAAAATGCATTATTTGACTTTTTTTTGACACTTTTTTTGACACTTTTTATTTGACACTTTAGGTATAAATTTCGATTAAAAATATATTCATATTATAATGCTAACTTGTGTTTTAAAAATGTTTTAAAATTCTTTTTAGAAACACAGCTACGATAATTTAGCAACATTAAAATTGAAAAATTAAATAAATTTAATTAACCTTACTTTTTCAATACCGTTTCTCTTTTTGTCACGTACGTAGTCTTCCACGTGGCAAAATGGCGACAAACTTCAACATTCCAGCATGTATACCCAATAAAGAACTAATATAACAATATTTTTTTCTCGATATAGTATGATTTCCGCGCTAAAACTTAAATTTATTTCTTAAAAATACGCGAAAGAAAGACGTACATCTATCAAGTCAGTGTCAACGACAGAGACAGTCATCGAATAGCGCTGATATTATGTTTTCAACAAGAAAGAAGCGAATCGCATTATAAGATCTAATGATTTAATTGTTTTTTTCCTTTTACAGGCAAACCAATGAGTCGATTTTCATGAGAAACTATTTCCACAATCCTGCAGTACTCAGACAGGCGGGAGTTGCGGATTCTCTGATTAGAGGTTTAGCCACACAACCTAGTCAGAAATTAGACATCTATTTTGCAGATGATGTAAGTAGTTACTTAGTACTTCTATTTAACTGAGTTGTAGAATAGAAATAAGGTTGCTGGGCAGTAAAAATTAGCTACTATTTTCGGAGAAATCTCGCATACTACACTCTATTTTTCGAACCTGTAAATGATTTTATAGTTTTTTTTGTCTTGTGTACATTTTTGATATAGTTCGTCCCATGTAAAAAACTTGCGCAGGAAGAACTATACATACATATATACTTGTTACATAAGATAAGCAAATATCTAGGTAGACATGCAGAGTTCTATGTAAATGATCATAACTCGACTAGCTGCCCAATAAATAGGCTGTGGTTACATGTAGTGATGGGATAACTCGAGCGAAAATTCGCTCGAGTATTCGATTATTGAGATAACCGACATCGCTCGATTATGAACGAGCGATGCAAGTGACGAGTACCAAGCGACGAACGCAAGCGATCCTAGTATGAAATAAATTGAAATCCGATTTTAATGTGACATACTCGATAAAAAGCCGAGCGAATTTTCTACATACATTGCAGTTAGCAAATTTATACGACGCCGTATATACTATATTTATCCGTTGCGTATCCGAGGGACAAAATTTTACGACCTACATCGACAATGCTTTGAAATAAACTAAATCAAGCGATCAAGCGAATCGCTCGCCGCTTGCTACTTGCCATTCATCACAGAAAGAATAGTGCCCTGCGCACGCAACTTACTGCTTGGCGCTTGGCATTAACGAGTACTTTCAACAAGCAACGGGTGAAAAATCCGTATTTTTAAATACGAGTGATATTTCGCTCGAGCGATCACTCGGTTATTGCAATCGCTTAAAACTCGAGTACTCGATTATTGAAATTAACCGGTTTTTTCCCATCACTAGTTACATGTGGAGACATTAAGTTTTCTTTAATATATAATAGAAACTCTTTAACAGTCGCATTAAATATTAACGCTTAACAGTCACCTTTTTCTTGTTAAAGTTAATCAACAAATTATACACTAATGGTCACTATGGATTTGACGTGCTGAGTTTTGACGTTCAAAGAGGCAGAGACCACGGACTTCCGGGATACAACAACTTCAGAGCTTTTTGCGGTTTGAAGAAAGCCAAAACGTTTAGTGGCTTCAAAGATGTCATATCTCCGGAGGTTTGTTAATTTGTCATCATTATTTTACTTAAAATGACATATAAATACTTTTTTTCATAGAATGTTGCAACATTGTCACATGTCTACGCAAGTCCTCACGATGTCGATCTGATTATTGGTGGATTATTAGAAAAACCGAAGAAAGATGCGTTATTTGGTCCAACGTTTTCTTGCATAGTTAACGAACAAATGGCAAGGACACGCAAAGGTATTTTTTTAATTATATTTAACAGAAAGAATACATTTTTTTATAAATTTTACAAAAACTATATGAACATATCTAAAGAGATGTTCTTAAGATCTTCCTAAATTCTTGGTCTGGATATTAAATATACAAAAGTTTTACCATTGGGACATTTGAACTACTATGTATATAGTCTGCGCAGCAGAAGAATTTATACAGACCAGGGCAGGGGTCCGATTCTGTAAACATATTTCCTCTCTAGTGGAGTCACTTATTATTGGATGAGTATCCATCGTATACAAATAGCATAGGCTAGACGGGAAATTTATTGCTACGGAGCTTACAGAATCCCACTGCTGGTTACCCTAAATTCGTAGTCTGGATTTTTTACGTTGAAAAATATACAAAATTTTTACCATTGGGACATTTGAACTACTATGTATATAGTCTGTCCAGCAAAAGAATTTATACAGACCTGGATATCCTAAATTCGTAGTATCCTTTTTTATGTTGAAAAAAATTCAAAATGTTTGCCATTGAGACAGTTGAACTACTATGTATACAGGATGAGTCTTAAATAAGTGCAAATATTTTAAGGGATAGTATATGTTGACCCCAGAAACACGATTTTACGCAAAAAAAAATCGAAAATTTTGAATTGTTTGAGAATTTTTTTTAATTTTTAATTAAAAAACATAATATCTTCATAATGTGGCAACATAGATAGTAGATTAAATTTACAAGAAAGAAAACCTCATCCTGTATAATCTGTCGAGAGAAAGAAGATATACAGACCTGGTTATTCTAAATTCGTAGTCTGGATTTTAACGGGGGTATGACAGTGATGGAGATACTCTAATGGAAATTCAATTCTTGTTCTTCTCTCTGTTTATCAACTGGTTATAAGACTACTATTTTATCTTTCTCTGATTCATCAAAATACAGACCACTTATTATTTATGGAAGACATACGAAAAATCTGTCTGGTTTATAACTTGTCGTCTAACAAAGATGATAAATTTGTTTCAGGTGACAGATACTTTTATGACAATAACAAACAACCAAAACCATTCACTAAAGATCAGTTAGCCCAAATCAAGAGGGCGACATTAGCTAGAATTATGTGCGACAACGGAGACGATATTAAAAAGATGCAGCTGAAAGTGTTTGAACATGTGGGAACAAGGTAACTTAAAATTATTGATAAAATTTTTATAATCTTCTGGTGTATGAGGGGCTAATAAGATTTGGACTAAATCCAAATTTGACAGTTGTTTAAATTTTCTAAAAATCTCATTTAAGTGTCGTAGTAATCAACGTAGTGTTTAACAAGTACGATTTCGCAATGAAGTGATCCCAGACAGTGCAATATTTAATTTCTTTTACTGTATGGGGGAAATAATATTGGGAGTAACAAAAAGAAACATTAAACACTTATTTTTGGCGCCCAACGAGGGGCTCGTACCCACGACCCTGAGATTAAGAGTCTCATGCTCTAAATAATCACAGACAGTGCATTTTATTTAATGATTTGATTCACGTTCACCTTGAATCGTCATCTTTTGCGAAATGGGTTGTACGTGATTGTCACCCACTTGACCAATTTATCTGTGTATTTCATAAATTGTATTGATGTATCTTATATTTTCTTTTTTTACAGCAATCCATTGCTTGACTGTTCTTCAGACGAAATACCAAAGTTGGATCTCGCATACTGGGCGATGCTAGAAAACACCCAACCGGAAACTAGAGCTATCTGAAAGTATTCGTACAAAAAAAGACTGATATTATAGTTGTTTATATTTAATTTCGATATATTATAATAAAATAGATAACGATTAAAATATGACATAAATATATGGATTATCAACAGCCTGGTCATTCGCAATCTATGGTCTATACTTTAATGAGTCAGACAAACATAAAATAGTTCTTTTATATTTTAGAGCTTCAAAGAAATGCAGGGTTGCTGGTTCCTACGTGCGATCGGCATGATTTAGGATTAAGGTAGATAAAAATAATGATAGAATTAAGCAGGGCCACCAACAGAGTGTAAAATATTATGTCAGGTATTAGAACTGTAGCAAAATTATTTTAATTATTGATATTTAACGTTCTAACTCTTGCTGCATTAATACCCGCAACACTTTCTTGGTCGTTATTAAGTATTTTAACGGAAAACCGGCAATACCGCATAGAAGTATCTCTCTGTATCTCCATCGTTTTCTAACATATTAAAATCTTAGACCAAAGAATTAGAATGGCCAGGTCTGTATATTATCGGGCATGATTGTCTGATATCATTTAAGACTGCATAAATACGAATACCTTCATCTTTACTTACTGGGGCTATAAAATGATGAAAATATTGTAATAAGCTTCCTGAAAGTAACTGATGTATAAATATAAAAAAAAGATGTCATATCTTAATAAATTAGTAGATTAAACCTATCTAGTATTTAAATATGTATAGAATATTGATCAGTTCAAATAATTATTGTTCGCTGTTAAGCTATATTAGCTTACAGGTTGATATAATAGTACTTAGATTTTTTGTACTTACTTCTATTTAATAAAGATGAGAATATAAAATATTCTTCCTTTCAAACCGGCATAGACCCTTATGGCTTATTGTACAGGGTTGCTCCATATATAATTATTTGTTATATTTTTATATATGATGATCATGTATAAGTTATATATGATGTCATATATAATTTATATGTGATTAGTACGAGAGCTAGCAACGTCGGAAAAACAAGTATTTAAGACGTCTGGCTCTTTGATATATCTTTTACTATGCTCTCTAGAACAGCATGCGGCCCGTCTGGCTGCCGGTAAACGTTGCGTTGCCTACCGCGCATTGAAAGAAGATCCTATATTTTTATTAGTCCTTTAAATTCTAGTATTGAATATAAATCGATCATGTCTCCATAGCGCAGTGCGTAGAGTTTCCGACCACGAACCGATGATTCAGAGTTCGAATCCGGGTCGGGGCAAAGAGTTTTATTTTATTTTCGTTTATATTCTGATAGTAAAGTATTAAATATTTGTTTTTATTTAATTACCAGAATTATTTAATACTTTACTATCAGAATATAAACGAAAATAAAATAAAAAAGTATTTGACCTGACCCGGATTCGAACTCTGAATCTACGCTGTTCGACTTATATTCAATACTAGAATTTATAGGACTAAATTAATAAAAAATATAGGATCTTCTTCCGATGCGCAGTAGTGAACGCAACGGGTATCGGCAGCCAGACGGGCCGCATGCTGTTCCAGAGAGCATAGTAAAAGATATATCAAAGAGCCAGACGTCTTAAAATACTTCCTCGAAAACGTTGCTAGCTCTTAGACTAGATGTCTTATAAATTTATATACATGTAATTTTAGATAATGGTGATAAAACACTAATTCGCCACAATACACTAAAAAATTTTACTTTTGCACTGGACGCGCGTATCATTACTATGATGATTGAAATTGTCAGCTTAAATCATCTGCTAATGATTCTAACATGGTTAGCGAAACTCACGTCCAGTGTAAAGGTAAAGTGTTTTGATGTATTATGGTGAATTAGTATTTTATTTTGCTCGTGTAACACCAAAGGTGCCAATCCTCCACTGTAATAATGATGACCATATATAAATGATACATAATGTCATTTATAATTTATGCGATCTTTTGCATTTATGATGATCATATTATGACCATCATATAAAAATATGTATAAATTATATACATCGTATATAATTTATGTGATCTTTTATATAAGATGATCATATATAATCACCAGTGTTGTTAGATGTATGATAGTGACTGTATGATAATTTTACGCTCACTGAAATCTAAAATTGTAATTTAATGTAACAGATATTTGGAATGGCATAGGAATACCTTGTAGTCTGTCCAACGCAAATACGTTTCAAATAAAGTATACAGAGGGTACCGCTTAAATTCCTGTCCCGATATTGAAGGATGGCTATAGAATTTCAATGCATTTCCTACATAAGTCTATCCTTGGTTTGTAGGAGGTTTGACTAAACAAGGATGAACCTATGTCTTGAAACCATTCGACTCGATTTTCTGTCCTCCTTCAATACTGGGACGTAAATCCTCTCATTGCTCTTATGGGGAGGCCGTCGTATATTTTATTTAAACGTATTTGGTCCAACGGGAAGATCCCTGACAATGACAGTTGTGTCAACTCAGAATAGTAGTACTACCATATATGTACATATAAAAGAATAAAGAAATTCTTTATATATATATGAGTACTCTTCTGCAAATAGGGGATTCCCAGAAGTCCATGCTTTTAACATACAACATACATATCATGTAGGGTACCTCTACCCTCCATAATGCAATGCCAATTTCTAAAAAGTATTCAAAGAACATCACAGAGGTAAATTGGAAGTTGACAATATATTTTTTTCATTTTCTAAAAACTTTGTTAATTAACACCTTAATTCATAGTCACCGCTGTATCTTTTACCACAGAATATCTAGCTACGCAACAGAAGCCTCGTTACATGTATAAAATTGTAGGTATCAAAAGGAGACAGGCTTTAAAAGCCTGTCTCCAAATCAGATATTTTGATGCGGTAGTTTCGCTACTACATAATAGAGGGCGATAAATTTAAAAGAAAATAGTTTTCTACAAACGAAATTTAAAAAAGAATTTTTCAGTGTTGCCATTGTGTAATTCATATTGTAATGCTTTCTGATAAATCCTACCTTCAAATTTGCTACATCATTTAAACATATTAAAATAGATCAGTGCTCTTTTTCAAACGTTTAGTCAGGTTTAAGTACGTATTTAACTTGCCATATTAGTTGGGGTTCAATAATCAGTTCCTGACGTTTGATTGTAATTGAATCCTGAATTTTGATTGTAATTCGGCGACAATATAATAAGTATTGTTCTACTATTATGATACCACTTCCTGACGTTCAAATGTGTTCATACTTTATACCGTATGATCGGGGAAAAACGGCGTTAGCGATAGCTATGAAATGAAGATCGCTGTCATTTTATATGGGAAATAGTATACTAAAATATAGTACCATATTACGATACATGGCGTTCGATTGAGCTTAAACGTGGTATTCTACTTATCTTTAGTAACATTGTAATATTATGGTTCCATGGAGCATATAAAGTGGTACCTTCTATAGTACTACATTATGATACCACTTCCTGATGTTCGATTGGGCTCGTATTTGATATATACTTGCATATTTTTGATGACATTGCAATATTATGGTACCATGAAGCATATCAAGTGGTACCATACTATAATATAGCACCATATTAGATACATGGCGGTTGATATAGGGCTTAAACTTGGTATACTACGTATCTCCGGTGACATTGTAATTTTGTGGAACCATGGAGCATATAAAGTGGTACCTTCTATAGTACCATATTATGTTACCACTCCTTGATGTTCGATTGAGCTCATATATTTGATATATAATTTCGTATTTTTGATGACATTTGATGACGATTGGGCCCTAATTTGGTATACTTACGTTTCTTTATAAAGATTTGTTGTGTGTTACTGCATTTTAATAAATTATTTCCATTATTATTAAACTTATATTTCATTACTAACTTTCCAGCATTAATAAATATCACTATCAATCGCCCTGTATATTTTTAAAGGTAATTAAAGGTATTTTCTTAGTTAACAATATAAGGTTGTGTATATTAAAAATGTATTTTTTGAGTATATGTTTTGTAATAATATACTTAAAACTATTTTAAAAGCCAAACGAACAATTAACATAAGTGTGTCTGACAAGAAAAAGAAGAATAGAAAGAAACTATTATACACCAGAAAAAGAATGGGATGCCAATTAAAGGTCTTTTGAATCTGGCAACTGTGCATATTTAGGCGAGCTTCAAGGCCGTCGATGTGCCGTCGATCTAAAACCAAAAGTTCAAAATTTCCAATTATATTCTGATTATAATATTGTCGCGCCATCTAGTATTTTATTTGTGTAATTTTAGCTCTTTCATTACAAGTATTTTTCTGTTGCGTAGCTAGATATTCTGTGCTTTTACTAACTTATACCAGAAAGTAGTTGCTTATACCTAGGATATATAACTTTTGTTAGTGTATTCTAGATATTTTTGTAAGTATGATGATGAATTTGTACGTGCCCTGTCTGTGCAGTAAGAGCGTTTTTCATTCATTTACAACAATCTGTTATAGGGCATTGTGCTTCAGTATTTCCTATCATATTATCTTTTATACAATAAAGATTACATTTTACTTGGTGCAATGTTAAATCGGTTTGTTGAAAACTGGTTAAATTCTCTATATCTCTTTCTTTTAAATTAATACACACATACAATTTTTACTGCACTTTGATTAGCGTTCCCCATACATTCTTAAGGAGTATTACAGGCACATTACAGAGTATTATCATGATGTATTATTAGGAATTATTTATTTATTTACCATTGTTGACATTGCTGTACTTGTTTATTTTTGTTGTCTTTGTGTCTTTGTCTTCACTTACCATAGATTAAATTTAAACTCTCTTCTTTTAATTAATTTTTTTTTGGAGTCTGGCCGAATAATCATTTGAGAAAAAGAAGAGAAAATTTATGTTAATCTGTGGTTACCCATGCTTCAAACCGTAAATATAAAAGAGAAGAAGAAAGTTACTTTTTTTCTGTGGTTGCGGTTCTGTTAAGGCCTAAAATACGAAAAAGAAGAAGAATGCAGGTGGCGCCATTGTGGAAGAAGTGTGAAAATTTTGAACTAAATGGTTTCCAATGTTGCCAAGATATTAGCAAAATCCTAAAACTAATCTAAATCAATATTTTTGTAAGTCTAAAATGAATTAAACGGTTACAAATCATGATAAATCTAATAAACATATATACAAACTTTGTTTTAGCAAAAAAAATAATATATTTTCTTTTCGTATTATTCATGCAGCAAAAAATGACCATTCTGTTTTACTAGTTTTACATATGTTCAATCTGACAACGTTGACGTGTGACATTGTCCGTTTTTAATAGGAAGCCGTTATGTGGCTCTTAAATTTTTCTGATTTTTAATAGAAAAAGTGATTTTTCTGTGCACTGTTTGAGTCTATTCTGTTTCTTAGGGCTTGTTTCGTCTCTTGAAAATGTAAGTACTCATTATTTTGCCTGTTTTCCATAGATTTTTTTCACTTTCAATTACATCATCATTAAAGGCATATATTTTTCCAATTTTCATAGTTTTCTTTTTCAAAATCGAGTATATGGAAATATAAATACATTTCTTGATGTCTCTATTGTACAATAAGAATAAAATTACTTGGAATATTGCTTCATATATAGAAATACTTGTTATTTTTTCGGCCATTTTTTTTTGGTAGAGTTTAGAGATGTTTTTATTCCTAAAGTTTTTTTGTTTAGGTTTTGTTTTTTCCATGATTTTTCGTTCAGGCAATGTAGTATTTTCTACGTCTTTAGAATAAATCAATATTCACCTAAAGGGGCCCTACATTCCCAGTAATTACATAATACTTTCAGATAAACAATTGTTTTCACATTTTTAACGTCGCCATATTGAACAAATCTGCATTGTGTCAATATAATAAATATAATAGTTTAATTTTTAATTTTCTTTTTTAGGAGTGTTATTAATAATACAGACCCAGTAGGTACCTAAAGAACATCTAAAAGAAGAGACTTGATCACTTCTTATATAATTCTGATGTTTCGCCATTATTCTGGTTTACGAGATTGGTGTTCTATTATCCGATTAAAGTAAGTTTATTTAATTCTTGAAAAACACTTTTAATAAATTTATTAAATGTTTATTAACAGACTAACCATATTTTTTAAGATATATTTAATCTATCTTATTATGAAACAAAAAAAATTAACACAATTATTAAGCATAATTTAATGAAATGTAATATTATTTATTTCTTTTTTTGCAGATTTTCTGCAACTAATCAATGGATATATACAGTTCCAGAGCAGTACATTAATTTATCCTTTTCACGAATATTTTACCAACAATGCATCAGGACTTCTAAGTATATCTAAAATTTTATTTCTTTTGGGTAAATATATTTTCACTGGTTTTTAATGTTCATCAATAGATTTCATGATTTCTAAATTTAATTAAGTAAGAAAAAAATTCTATTGAGTCTCTGACTTTTATGGTTCCTTATTATCATAGCCAAGTTCTTGACTTGGCATTTTTGGTAGAATACTATCTACTTGGAAAACATTTTTTTTGGTCCAAGTTTTTTTTGGTTTACTTTCATTTCCCTATAATAACTTGACTCCCATATTTTTCTTGATTATAGGAATAACAATATCCCCATTCATCAATTCTATAAAATATTCTATTGACTATATTTCTATAGGTTTTCTATCTATATATCTACTTAGAATTTGACTTCATGTTGTTTATCGTTAACTTTCATTTCTCTGCAATAGCTTGATTCTCATATTTTGTCCCTTGTGGGATAATAATGACATCATTTATCGATTCTATAAAATATTCCACTGACACATAATATTTTATAAAATATTCCTTTATTTATATTTTATTATGGTATCATTCTTCTATATTACTCTTTGCTTGTGCAATTTCTTGCACAGAATTTTAGTTTTGATGGATTCATTTACATGTTATTTTTCTCAGATTAAATGCCACAAATTTCTATAATTATACAGTTTTGTTTGTCCAAATAATATAAACACTGATAACACTTAAAAACCTCAAAATAAGGACCAATTCCTGGCGCATTCGCCATTTGTTCAAAAACTGACTCGTCCAGTTACTTCTATTTTTCTAGCATTTTCCAATGAACATTTCCACAAGGTAACATCTAGCTCCAGAGCATTGTAACTAGCCTCCCCTAGGAGGACCCAGGTCACCCAACCCTGATGTTCCGGGCATGGAGGTATAAATTCAAGAGTTCTTCCTACTTTATTAGATTGTGTGCGTTAATTTTTTTATGCGCTACCCATAATGCACTATTTATTAGATAATTTATAATATACAGGGTGTAGAAATATTACGAATTTTTTGGAACTTTAGTTTCGGAGATTTTTTTTTTAATTTAATCGGACCTTTAAGAAAATTAATTTCATTTTTCAGAAACTATTAGAGACAGAGTTTACCAAAATGCTTTTATAACTACTATGGGTAAAATGAATTTCTAGATATATTACGAATTTTCTTGAACTCTTAGTTTCGAGATATTAATTTAATCGGACTTTTAAGAAAATTAATTTTATTTTCAGAAACCATTTTAGACTGAGTTTACAAAAATGATTTATATCTACTAGTGGGCAAAACCGAATTTCTAGATATATTACGAATTTTTTTTGAACTTTAGTTTCGGAGATATTAATTTAATCGGACTTTTTTAAGAAAAATTAATTTTTCAAGTCAACCATCCTCTTCAAGATCTTATTAGGTTGATTAAATTCAACATTAAAGAGTGGTTGAAATTCATCACTGATGAGGAACAAAATAATTTTAGGTAAGTATATAATAATAAAATGTTTTTTTTTTTAAATCAAATATAACCACATTTTTTATTTTTTTAAGATATGTAGATATAAATTATGATAGAATGTAATACTACTTATTTCTTTTTTACAGATTTTGGTCAACAAATCGATGGATGTATACAGTTTCAGGGCAGTACATTTATCCTTCTCATGAATATTACAATGCATTAGGACTTATAAGTATATCTAAAATTTTATTTCTTTTGGGTAAATATATTTTTACTGGTTTTTAATGTTCTTCAGTGGATTTCATGATTTTTTAAATTTAGTGAAGTAGGAAAAAATTCTATGGAGTCTCAGAGTTACATTTTTATGGTTCCATATTATCATAGACAAATTCAGAGCATGTCTTTTTAATTTGAGCCAATTTTTGGCTTTTGGTCACTTCTTATTCTCTTTTAGGGGACTTTACTCCCATATTTTCTTAATAAGTCTTTTTTTATTTGTATTATTTTTCTTATGGTGTCATTCTTATAATACTTTTTTGCTTGTATAATTCCTTGTACGGAATTTTAGTTTTGATGGTTTTATTGTCATGTCATCTTTCTCATACCATGAATTGCTGTAATTTTACGAATTCTGTGGATTTGGTTCGCCTGTGTTTATATAATTTAAACACACAAAAGAACACATTTAAAAATCTTAAAATATGGACTAATTTCCGGTCAATTCCTGGCGCATTCGCCATTTATTTAAACATCCTGACTACGGATGTCACTGCTATCTTTCCTATAATTTTTTCCAATGAATTTTTCTTAGTAACATCGACTCCAGAGCATTATAACTAGCCTCCCCTAAGAGGAGGAGACCCGGGTCACCCCCTAACCCTGATGTTCGGGCATCGATGACCTATGTAGCATGCATAGGTACCCAAGGGAGTCACCACCCTCTGGTTTACGAGCTAGGTGTTCTAACGCTAGAGGCTTCGGCCGGATACGACCTGGCACCCAAGCTACGAGACTTCTCTCTTTCTGTGCACGTATCCCGTGACGTCTCGACAGTAGAGGGGGCGGGATATCGGACACATTGAAGATGATGAGGGGGGGTCCGCCTGTAGGGAGGTCCCGGTGGATGTCCGCTCGATGGGTGACGAGGGTGACCCGGAGACGAGGCTGCTTAGCTGGGATGGGAACTGACTGGTGAGGCTTAATCGTCGGACAAGGGTTAAATCTGATGAAGGAAAGCGACCTTATATGCTCTGGAGGATTTTTCTTTATGTGCTTCAGTCATATTTTGACTAGATATTCGTTAGAGGTGGCTAAGCATATTTTTTGTCAATTGCTTCCTTATTTCACTTCTTTATTTTTAATATCATCTTACTTTTTGCTTCATTTTGCTTTTGACCTACCTCTCCCTACTTGTCTGCCAAATTTTCTTTATTATTAGAATATCATTCATCAATTCTATATATTACATTCTTCCAATGACTGTATTATATATTAGTATATTTTCATGCCATTTCCGCCAAATTTATCCCCAATTTTTATGTCAATTCTTTTAATTCATCATGTCTCTCACTATTTCTCCCGTATTTTCTTTATTATGGGAATGCCATCATTTTTCAATTTTTCTATAAACTCTTCCATTGATTGTATTTCTCTAATTTTTTGTATATATTTCTATACATTTTTTGTGTCATTCTTCTGAGATATATTTCATCACTTCTATGACCTGTATAGAATTATAGGATTTTCTAATTTATTTTCAAGCCAGTTTTTCAATGCATCATATCTCTATTTCAGTCTTTATCTCTTATATTACTTCCCTATGGGAATGTCCAAGTCTTTTAATTGTATAATTTTTTGTGTTATTTTTTTCAAGTTCATTTAATTTTCATCATTTTTAATCTACGTAATAATTTATCTTATCTACGTCTCCTATTATCTTCATTCTGGGGGGTGTAAAGCTAGTTCGCCTCCACGTGGTGCACCCTGGGTAACGCTAAATGAACTAGCAAATACTGGCAGTCAGACAATCTTAGGATCTCCTCTTCATAAGACATATTTCCAAAGTTTCACTTTTCTTTAAGAGATATGATGCTATCAAACAAGGCAAACGGTCTTTCTCTACATTATTTTTCTTCTATATTGATTGTATTTCTAAATATTTTTTAAATAGTTTTTGATTCATTTTCTAATTGTTATTTCTTTCATTCCGTGTTTAATTCCTTTTAAAATTGAGTTTGTGAATGGGATATTGTACTGCTTTGGAACAAGGATTTTATGGGACTGCTGCACTTCAAGTCAACCATCCTCTTCAAGACCTCATTAGGTTGATTAAGTTCAACATTCAAGAGTGGTTGAAATTCATCACTGAGGAGGAACAAAATAATTTTAGGTAAGTATATATAATAAAATGTTTTTTTTTAAATCAAATATATTTAGTAACCACATTTTTTATTTTTTTAAGATATGTAGATATAAATTATGATAGAATGTAATACTATTCATTTCTTTTTTACAGATTTTGTTCTACTTATCGATGGATGTATACAGTTCCAGGGCAGTACATTTATCCTTCTCACGAATATTACAACGCATTAGGATTTACAAGTATATCTAAAATTTTATTTCTTTTGTGTATTTTTACTGGTTTTTAATATTCTTCAGTGGATTCCACGATTTTCTAAATTTAATGAAGTAGTAAAAAATTCAATTGACTCTCAGAATTACATTTTTATGGTTCCTATTATCATAGACAAATTCAGAGCAATTATTTTTAATTTGAGCCAAATTTTTTTAGCTTTTAGCCACTTCTTATTCTCTTTTAGGAGACTTTACTCCCATTTTTTTGGAGAGATGAATCCGCCACATAGGTATAGACATTTTTTACTCCCATATTTTCTTAATAAGTCTTCTTTTATTTGTATTATTTTTCTAATGCTACTTATAATACTTTTTTGCTTGTGTAATTCCTGGTATGTTGTTTTGTGTTTATATAATTTAAACACACAAAAGAACACATTTAAAATTTTAAAATATGGACTAATTTCCCATCAATTTATTTAAACATCCTGACTCTTCTACGGATGTCACTTCTATCTGTCCTATAATTTTTTCCAATAAATTTTCCTGAGTAACATCGACTCCAGAGCATTAACTAGCCTCCCCTAAGAGGAGGAGACCCGGGTCACCCCCTAACCCTGATGTTCGGACATCGATGACCTATGTAGCATGCATAGGTACCCAAGGGAGTCACCACCCTCTGGTTTACGAGCTAGGTGTTCTAACGCTAGAGGCTTCGGCCGGATACGACCTGGCACCCAAGCTGCGAGACTTCTTTCGTGCACGTATCCCGTGACGTCTCGACAGTAGAGGGGGCGGGATATCGGACACATTGAAGATGAGGAGGGGGGTCCGCCTGTAGGGGGTCCCGGTGGATGTCCGCTCGATGGGTGACGAGGGTGACCCGAGACGAGGCTGCTTAGCTGGGATGGGAACTGACTGGTGAGGCTTAATCGTCGGACAAGGGTTAAATCTGATGAAGGGAGGCGACCTTATATGCTCTGGAGGATTTTTCTTTATGTGCTTCAGTCATATTTTGACTAGATATTCGTTA